TGTACCACATCATCGAGAAGATGGAGGTATTGATGGTTAGGGCTCGTCCTAGTAGAGAGGTGAATGAATTGCCCCAACGTCCCATTCTATTGATTTGTTTGGTGAGGAGGTGCTGTGCCATTTGTGGAGCAGGGCCGTCCTTGGTGACCAGAATTCCCAAGTATCTTGTGGGATCTTCCAGTTTTTCCCATGCCATTTCTGACTCTGGTCCGACCATTGTGGGTAACACTTCTTCCGATATCCACCATCCAACTGTCTTTTTCCAGTTGATCTTCATTTCTGATGCTAGCCTGAAGGCTTCCATTGCTCTGACCAATGCCTTTACCGAGGAATCAGACGCTCTTATAAGGACCGTGAGGTCGTCTGCGAGCATAATCACTGTTGGGAACTGTATATGGTGAGTCGTGCCAGTGTTTAGCTCTGGTAACCTCTGAATTGAAGGGTCCTTCCATAGAAAGGAGGCAATCGCTTCCATAACGAAAACGAAGATCGGTGGGGCAAGTGGATCTCCTTGACGGACTGACCTGGAGATCGGGTATCATTCTGAAATCAGTCCGTTGACTTGCACACATCCTTAAGCGTCATTGTACAAAATCCTGACCCACTTTCTGAAGTTGGGTCCTACCCCCATTTTTTCCATACTAGCGTTGAGGAAGACCCAGTTCACTTGGTCGTATGCTTTCTCGAAATCAAAAAACATAATTGYTGTGTTCATCCTTTTCTCCCTTACCTTTCTCACTGCTTCGTTTAGAGTTAATACGTTGTCTAGTATATACCTCCCTGGAATAAACCCGGTTTGGTCAATGTGAAAGCATTTGTCCGTGAGATCCCCTATCCTGTGCGCTAGGGCTTTGGCCAGGATCTTGTACGGAAGGGTGAGTAGTGATATTGGCCTATAATTACGTATATCCTCTCGGTCTCCTTTTTTGTATAGYAGGGTCACTACACTGCTGCTTARCATTTCTCCCATACCTCCCTTTTCCCAACTGTCTTTGTAAAAGTGGAGGAGATCGCTGCCCAACAGTGGCCRGAATTGTTCCCAGAACTCCTTGGTTAGGCYGTCCAACCYTGGTGACTTGTCGTTGTTCATGCTTTGGACCRCAAGCTTCAATTCATCCAAAGTGATAGGTTTATCTAACACCGCTGCTTGTTCCGTAGAGATTGTTCTGTCAAGGAATTGTAGCATTCTGKATCTCGCCTCTCTTACGRCCGTGGAGGGSGGGGTTACAGTTTTTGTCTGATATAACTCCTGATAGAATCCCTTGGCTATTTCCACCATGCCCTCGCTATCTGTCCTTATGTGTTGTTCGTTTGTGAGTTCTTTGAGYCCTTCAATTGCGTTTGACCTTTTGTTAGCTTYTATTCTCGCGAAGAAGTGTTTGGTCATTGATTCATTCAATTCGTACTCCATCATTCTTGCTCTAATCTGYAGTCCTCYCAGTTCCCATTGTCTCCATATTGCCAGTTCTTCCCTCGCTTTTTCAAACGTGTTTGAATAGAGGGTGGAGGAGGGGTCGACTGCTAACTTGGCTTCGACGATCTTTAGTGCCATCTCTAGTGATTGCTTTCTCAACCTTCGGTCGTTGGCTAGTTTCCTTGAAATGCACGCTGATGATCATGCCAGCGAGAGGCAGCTATCTTGGAACCATTCCCATTTGTCTTGTCCCTCTAGGAATGAGCCCTTCGAGTTTTGACAGCACTCTTGTATCCCATCCTGGAAAACTTGGCTTAAGAGGAGAGAATTATTCAGTTTGTGAAAGCTGGCTCCTTTCATAATGTATTGATCAAAGTTGAGGATTAACTCAATGGGTTTGTGGTCAAGTCCTGCATATGGGGCAAGTCCCAGAATGTCAGCCTCCTTGATGGTGCCCATCAGATGTTCAGAGGCGAGGAAAAAGTCGATCCGAGAGAAGGCCGTGTGGTGAGCATGGTTCTTCTTTATCAGTGAATAGGCCCTTTTGCCTGGATGTAGTGTACGGAAAGGGTCTACCAAACTATGATCCATCATAAGTTTCAGCACCGGTGCCGCTTCTTGGGACGCATGGGATGCTGTGGTTCGTGAGATTCTGTCGTTGTTAGGATCGAGAGCAGTGTTCCAATCTCCCGCTATTATGCAGGCAGTTAGAGGTGTCACTAGCGTCCCTATTAATGATATGGATTCTAACCTCTCTGCTGGGTTGTTTGGTGCGTAAATTTTAATAATTCTGAATTCTTCTTCTTTCCATTTCAGATCCATCAGGCACCATCTTCCTGCTTCGCTGTCCTCTTGCTTCTCTTGCACCGTCCCTGCTATGTAAAATCTTGACGATTTTGGTATTAGGATAGCTGTGCCTTTTGTGCTTGAGTCGTTATCTGATGCCCATACCTGGTCATTGACCCCCCCTAGCTTCTTTATAAAGAGCTTCCTAATCTTTTTATGGTCCTCTGAGTTGGTTAGKTGTGTTTCTTGTAGGASAATGATATCCGCTAGTTTATTTGATTCATCTTTGAGTCCTCTGATTATGTCATTGAGTTTGTCTTCTTTAGTGAGGATGTTACCTAGCCCGTTGACGTTCCAGCATCGAACCGTGATTCCTTGTGTCCTCCAGTTTACCTTACGTCCTCTCTCATTGGCCTCTTTTCTCAGCAGGTCCATGGATGGGGTCTGATGATTGACGTCGTCAGGCTGGAGTTGTTAATTTAGGAAGCTCCCGATCCCCCGGTCTCCATTGACTCATCAAACCCCCCCGGAGGATCAGCCTGGGTACTGGTCACAGATTCATCCATTTTATACTCCCCCACACTATCGCTGATCCCTTTGCCCGAAGATGTCTTCAAATCTGACTCATCTCTCTCCATAACCCATTCCTTTGCCTCATCTTCCATTTCATCTTCCGATAACTCATCCCTATAGTATCTTTCCATGTCTATTGCACATGCTCTGGAGTCTAGATCGTCATCCCCTGCAAAGATTCCCTTGCTGATCAAGTCTGCCAGGGAGGCGGCTTGCAGTTCAGCAGGGATGCCTAACCCAGACAGCACGCTGTATGGGTTCCATGGGCGCCATTTCATCCCTCCTCTCAGCTTTGCCCCCTCAGGCATCTTTGCAATGAGGGGAGTGAAAGATCGGGGAGACCTGGGATCTGTTTGATCCGTTTGCGATTCTTCGGGGTTAGTCCGGCTGTCAATGGCTTCGTGTCCTGCCTGTAGTGTTTCTTGCATTCCGTTGTCAAGCTGCCCCAAAGGAGATTCCATCTCAAAAACGGCCAGAGGATACGCTGTTGTGATTTTCTCATGAAGAATGGTTGCCACATTTTGTCCTTCGTCAATCCTAGGGATTGTGAAGGACACGTCCGTGGCAACCTGCCATTCTTTCTTCTCTTTTACATAACGTGCAGCCAGGAGAGGGCGGGTTCCCATCAGGGTCAGCTTTGCTGACTGTGCCTGTCCTATCACCTCGGGAGCCTTGCCTTCCGCYATGTGTCTGAGAGAAAAAAACTCCGGTTCGTARTCCTTGTTGAGCTTTTTCAGTTTTTMCGCCTGTGCTTCCACAACTGCAATTTCCTGTTCCAACTCCGACCTWGCTGATTTTTCTGCCTGTTCTGATCCAGTCTGGCCTGTGGAGAATCCCTTTTTTTTTKAGTTCAWGGAAGTCTTCCACTTTTTGGATCTCAAGTCCTGGAGAGCATCCTTTGATCCCACCTGCGTCATATCCTTGTCCTTAATTCCCTGTTCCCTTGCCCTTTTTTTGCCTGCGTAACGAAAGGCTGCATACTCAGAGAATTCCTCTTCCTTTACCAGCAGATCATATTGGTTAGGTGCTGTCTTAAAACCTGCTGCTGTCCCCTTTTTCAGATTCTGCGTCCTTTCCATATGCTTCATACAGGCCGTCCGGATGTCAAAGAGGTGTTCTCGAACAGCTTTGGCTTTGCTGATGTAGTCTCTCAACCATTGGAGGGATCTCTTTTCTTCCTCSTCCTCCTCGCTTGAGGATGCAGTGGTATCGGCAGCACTGCTGCTGTCCCCCTGCTCCCGCTCTGTTACTGGGCTTGGCGGTTCCCCCCCTTCGGGGGTCAGCGGTTGATTGTCGCTGTTGTCCTTTGCCAGTCCCCTCCGTTTCTTTGAATCTGGTTCTCCTCCTTCTTTGAACCCTTGTTCCTTCTCCATGGATCTTTTGCCGTCTGTCTGTGGTTGTTTTGCCTCTTTGTTGGCGACTTGTTTTGCCTCTTCCTCTTTGCTGTTGATGAATTTGGCGATTCTCTCTTGAATTTTCTCTGGTTGTTTTTCATATTCCTCCTCCATCTGTTCCCGGACTGAGTCCAGATCCCACAGCAAGTTTTCCCTTGCTTTTTCTTCCCTGATTACCCTGGAGTCATTGAGGGGAATTGACTTGATTTTTGTTGGGTTCTCCGTCTCCTTCCCTGTTGCTTTCTTCTGCCACCTGCTGTCTGCAGGAGGGAAGATGTCTGGCTTCTTTGTTACTRGTTCTTTGTCTGTAAAATGCCAGATCCATTCCGGGTCCTCCAAGTTGTCATCGAAGACCCAGCCGTCGTAGGATGGATCCACAATGTACCAGGTCCCYGGGGCGTCTTCTACCTCAACCAGCATGTTGGGGTGGAGTTTCCTTTCTCTCTGCTRTTTCGGAAATTTGGGGCATGCAGGGTCCGACCCGGTGTGWCCTCTTTCTCTGCATCTGAAACAAATGGGAGATGTCTTKGTCGATAYTGTGATGTCAACGGCTCTGTCGTTGATCASGAGTGACCATTCTGTGGGGAAAACCGGTGGGTCTTCAGTTTTCACCTCAAGGATGGYTGTCATCATTCCGATGTGGGGGGACAGGAACTCCGGCATTGGCAAAATCCATTTCAGGATTTTGTTTGTCGGGTACTGTCTCTCCAGTCTGTCGACTACCAACCCGTGGTTACCGGGCGGGATTCTGTCGAACTGGACCCAGAACTTCTCTTTCATCAGTGTCTGCTTGTATGATACTGAGAAGGACGGGCTCGGTCTTGCGTTTGTCTGTTTTTTCCACGGTGTGATTGTACAAATTGATCCGTTGCAGTTCCTGGATCTCATCTCAGCTGCGATCCGCGCATGGTCTTCCGAAATGAAGATCACCATGACTAAGGTGCGACCCAGGTTCATCAAGGTGAAGGACTCGTTTACTGCTCTCAATTTATCTTCTTTTTTAATTGTGGCTGTGATCCATTTCCTTTTCTCTGCTGGCGCCAACTCTGCCCCATTCCTTGCAAAGTTGAAAACAACAGCATGCTTTTCGTGCAATTCGTCTAATTCAGCCACTTTGCCGTCTGGGTATTTCCATATGATTTTCTCTTCTTCTTTCCCCTCTGTGTTTGTTGACCGTTCAATCAGCATTTCTCCTTGCACTTTAATCTTTTCTATGATGAATTTTAGAGCTTCATTGTCAAAGACTGCTGTTTTGTTCATTTGCGCGGGTCGACCATTTGCTGATGAGCCTTGGAGAGTCTGCTTAAAAGACGCCGGGGCCTTGTTTCCCCTAGGGCTCTGCATTGTTACTTTTCAATTGCCCCTGAATGTGGACTGAGCGAGCACTGTGGTTAGTCTTGAGTGGGTGCGGGATGGAGCAGGGCAATATATGAAAGATCACGGGGTAGATTGAGATGGTTAAGCTGGGTTAGGTACGGTGTAATGGCTATGGGTTGGATCGATTTATTTATTTATTTATTTTTAATGCCTAGGGTTGGAACGGTTGAGTGATTTTACGATGGTGGTACTAGGGTGGGGGGTCGAGAGCTATAGGTGTTGGTTGCAGGGAGAGAAGTGGTAGATGCCTATGAGGGGGGGGGGGGGGGTTGCGCTTTTAGTTGGTGTGGGTGTGTAGGGGGTTACTATGTCGTATAAGGGCAGTAGGGGATGCCAAGGGATGTGGAGAGGAGAGGTGAGGGAGGATGGGAGTGGACAAGGTTAGCTGTTATTCAGATGCACTGGTTTCAATTTGGGGTTGGCGGGCGAGGAGAGGGCGGGGAAGGTACTATGATGGCAGAAGTCGCGTAGAAGGGGGGAAAAGTCGAGCACCCTGGTTTCCAGGAACTAGCTGGGGATGGACTACGGTGGGGCGATTGGAGGGAGATCGGGTGGGGGACAAAAGCCGTTCGGGGGGGTAGGGTTGACGGATTAGACGTGGAGGGGGCAGAGCAATGCGGGGTGCCGTGTGGGGGACCAGAGTAGTGTGGGAGGTAAGGGTCGTAGGCTAACCAGTTGGGGGGGGGAGACTGCGAAGGGTGGGGCTTAATAGTGGGGACCTTCATGAAGTCACAGGGTGGGATTTGTGTAGACACGTTGGGGGACGGTGCTATGTGACAGCGTTGGGTAGGGGCAAGGTAAGGTCAACAGGGGGAAGGGCGATGAGRAGCTGGCTGGAYGYTKTATTGAGGGACGATCGGAAGGAGGGGGAATAGTGTGGGCGGAGCGCATGGGAGATTGAAAGGGATTAGATTGCAGTAGGAGCAGTGTGAAGGGCGATGAAGAGTACGAGCGGAACGGATAAGTGTCGAGGTGGGGGAGCGAGGTGAGCTCTATGTTTTGAGATGGGAGGGGCGTATTGGGTAGGGGAACGGTTCGACTATGGTTCTTGGGGGAGTGAGGGGCGGAGTAAGGAAGTTAGGGAGTGGAAGTGAGGGAGTGGGGGAGCGAGCGTTAATGACAGTGTCGTTTGTGAGTCGAGGAAGCAGAATAGGGGAGCGTTTTGCGGATGTGGAGGGTTGTGGAGATCGAGCAGTTAACGAGGTAGGGGACAAAGAGGTGGTTTGGGGGTGTGTATTAGTGGCCGAATCTAATAGACGGGGGGAAAGTAATTGGGGGTTATGGTTAGGTCTCACTCGAAAGTCGATCTTTCTTGGGACGATCGTGTGTTCTTTGTCCGTTTCGCCAGGTCTCACGTCTCTCCTTGAATGGTAATGCGCCAAAGGCACTCGATGTACGAATTGGCTTGATGAACAGTGCAACCCACTTCGAGTGCCACCCGAATGAACCTTGGTGGAGAAGCCGCCCAGAACCTAAAATCGGTCGTCAGCATCCCCCTTTGCCAAGTACGCTGTCAGGTACGTAGTGGGACTCATTGTCTTCCCGTAGTCTTCCCGCCCGCCTTGGCTCGTAGCAATGATGACCTACGCGCGCGCGCCGGGCGCGGGCACGCAGAGCTTCTTTGTCGGACGTGCTGAGCTATGGCTTGGACGATACTCGTTGGTATCTTGCGAGGCACGGGCGGGGCGCGTGAAGCGCGATGTTCGTCGTTTTCGAAACGTAAAAATTCAAGTTCGCCGGCGCGGTCGCGCGCGAGGCAGGGCTGCGGGCGCGAAAAATAGCGCTGTTGTGCGCTAACCGGAAGGCGCGAGCGCAAGTTTAAGATTTCCTTTTTCATTTCCTGTATTTTTCAGATGTTCAATACCTTGCCAATCCTTTTGTCAAATTTTCAAGAGTATCCCAAGGACACTCCAACATGCCAACTTGATATGCACCAAACTATCAAATCTCGACATGAAAATGGCCCAAAAGAGGAGAGAGTATTCATCTTACTTGAGCAGTTGTTCTGATGACAGCTGACTCCATCTCCTCCTGAACTTCATCATCAGATGAGTGTTCCCTCTTTGCCAGAATGCGCCAATGTTCAAATAGCTGCATCAGACAGGGAACAATCAAACAAGTTGTTGGTGTTCCAACCTGTAAAAGCACAAGCGTGGACCTTGCAATATTCTGTGATTGCAATGATTCAGGTCTTCTGAGATATCCAGCAAGAAGAAAGAGCTTGGTAAACACGGTTAGACTTGTAGATCACGTAAACCTGTTCGTTTACATAAACGGAAAGAGAGGCAAAGGTGGTGGGAAGATTTTTCACGACTGTATAGCCGTACACAACAGCAATTTGACCTTAAAAAGACTGACAAAGGGAACAAACAGTGGCCATTCCTCGGTTCTATGATTGGGATCTTGGACCTGGGCAGTTTAGCTTCCTCCGTCACTGGACACCGAGCACTGAACACATTTGAGGTGAAATTTGCCCAAATAAGACAAGACTTTTGGCAGTATTCTACGGCCGTCTTCACCCGAATAGAACACCTGGTCATTATCGCTGTATTTTGCGCAACTTTCAGTCCAGATGCAGCGATAATGACCGGGTGTTCTATTCGGTTGAAGACAGTAGGGCCCATAAAAAATGGACTTCGTTTCTAGTAACTTTCTACCCACCTACACCATATTTGCAGACATAACCTATCCTGAGGAGTTTTTCAGTGCCTGGAACACTTTGCCAGTGAACTTGAGCCAAAATAGGACCACTGCCCTTGGGAACTGGGCTCATGGTCACGATCGCCAATAAGGTTGGACCTGTTTCAACCTTACACGGACATTCTCAAATGTTGGGACATCACACTCTTAGATGCAAATGGGCCTTTTGAGTGGGCTTCACCTTCTCATACGGGACTGTGAAGACAATTAACAGTTACTGAAGATGGCAACACCATAAGCTGCTTCAGGCAGAGAAGCATCATACCTAGACGCAATATAATTGGCACTAGCCTTCCCCGGGAGGGCTTCCACCCACACAAAATTTGGGAGGACAAATTAGTGACGTGTGCGACACAGTAGCCTTCTTCATTAAGGCTTGTGCTTCCACCCCCCCTGCCTCCACCGACCCACATCAACACAGCCATGACACAAGACAGAAAATGAATGTTTTCCTATAGCATGTTCAGAAGGGGGAGGGGGTCCCATCCCCACCAATCAATCAGACTGTGACACGTAGACAGGAAATGTAACCTTTCTTTTCTATTTATGCAGCAGTGTGGACGGACGGGCTCTGCCCCCCATCTGCAGTTGACTGTGACCTTTCGCCTCTGCCATGCTAACTCTCTCTCTCTCTCTCTCTCTCTCTCTCTCTCTCTCTCTCTCTCTCTCTCTCTCTCTCTCTCTCTCTCTTTTCGGACTATGCGGCATTTCGGGAGTCAGGGTTCTTTGAAGACTGAAATCCTCACAATCATAGGCACAGTGCACATAATGCTTGCAAATATGTATGAATATAACGACGTTCCGGACATTTGTGAGTTGTTATAGACAGAACTGAGACTGCTGCGCTACCAAGAAAATGTCGTTCTGAATGTGGTCAACGCTTTCTTGAGAAACTGCCCAGATGAAATGAAGAGATTTGTGATATGTTAGTTCAGAGCGAAAAATGGGGAACTGGAACGTGAAAAATGAAAAAGAAATGGCCGGAAAATCTTGAGAACAACAATCGACAATCAAACTCGGGCATGGCTGATATAATTATATGTGTGGAGAACAGATCCCATAACGAAATATATAGCAGGTGAGGACAAGGATAATTTCACGACTTGAAAACTGGGTTATAATCCAAACACACGGCAGCTGAATGTTCACACCAGATGGATACGAACTGGATTTGGGGACCAACATATATCCGGACTTGGGATGTCAACAGTTGATTGGAACTTCAGCGACGTGCGAGGATCTGGGTCCTCGGCAGGCCTGAGGGGCCCCTGCTGCAAATGTGCCCACCCTAAGTGAAGGCGGGCCTAACAAATCACGAGAGACCCTAAACTGTCATATTCATATTTGGGGTCCAGGCAGTTTCGTCGCTGAGGAAACACAGGCCGAGCAGCAAGGAAATTCCACGACCTTCTACGCAATTTCGAAAGTGCAGGCCCTGGGCGAGATTCGCAGCCTCATACACAGACAATTGGGAGGCCCAACTGAATGAGGCCCAGTAGCCGCACCAGAGGCGCAGCATCCTGGGGCCTACCGGAAGCTTCTGGGCCCAGGCCCAGGCCAGCCAGGCTGCGAAGACAGGCAGGCTCTTTCCATATAGTAAAGAGCTCACTGCCTGGCGAGATATTCAGGCACTCGCATGCTAGCGGTGGCGCTGCTGGAGCGAACGCTCGTGGGCTGCTGCTGGCGCTGAGAGGCGAGGTGCAAGCGCGTGCGGCTGTGCAAGAAGCAGGGCGTTACTGAGGGCAGCGCCATAGCCCCGCCTCCATAGCTGGCTGAGGGCTTGGATATACAGTGAGGCGCAGGGGTGGTCTTCGGGTGTACAAACGGGAAGACGTGGGAAGACGGAGGAGAGAGAGAGAAGGATGATGATGATGTGAGGGCACATACCTGGTATTGGCGATGGTCTGCATAGGCGACATCTTCCAGTACTCCGGAGGCTGCTGACGTCAACAGTTGCATTATCAATTAGTAGGCTAGTAGTAGCTGTGTAGGGAGTAGTCTGGGCGCCGAGAGCCAAGTAGGGAGATAGGGACTGGATACATATGTTGGTGGTGGCGGGAGCAAGCTTTCATTGACATTGGTTTTTCAGTGCTACGATTCTCCATTGGTGTCATATTGGTGCATTGCTGCTTTCTGAACACTGTGATACGATCTGGCTTTCAATGTGATTGTGCAATCTGAATATTGTCATCACGCTATTGCTCATTTTCCTTGCAATTTGGTATCGGAGCTGGTTCGGACTGTGCTCATTGGTTCTTCGCAATAGCTGTCCGGTGCTTCGGATGTGGTGTGGGGCATTGATAAGGCTTGGGCGTTGGACATAAGGCGGCCCAGGGTTGTGTGGGCGCGCCAGGAAGCTATGC